CATAACATTTCTTTTACATGCCTCCTTCTGTCCTGACACTATTACCACCCTGGGGTAGGTAGGCCCTCCATCACCTCATACTTTTGACTACTGGAACAGCCTGCTGGTTGGTTTACCAAACGCAAATCTCTCCCCACTCCAGTCTATCTTCAAGTCAGCTGTCAAATTAATTTTCTTTAATTGCAGATGTGACCATGTTATGTTCTCCACCCCCATTCAATAAATAGCAGTGGTGCCCTATTAATTCTGGGATCAAATATAATAACCTCTGTTTTGCTTTCAAAGCCCTTTCCTAGCTAATCCCTTCCTACCTTTCCAGGCTTCTTATACCTTCTAATCCTGTGACACTGGCCTCCTAGTTGTTCTTCATTCAAAACATTCTAATCCCAACTCTGCATTTTCACTGGCTGTTTGCCTTGCCTGGAATGATCTCCCTCCCTCACATTCTGCTTTCCTTCAAATCTCCCCCCAAAGCCCACTTTCTACAAGAAGCCTTTGCCAGTCTCCTTCATGATACACGATCCAAGTGAAGTGCCTTCACTCTGAGATTCTCCTCTGTACACAGGCATTGGCATGTTGTCTTCTTCTCCATTGGAACCTTGAAAGCAGTCACTGTTTTTGCCTTTCTTTGTATTCCCAGCACTTAACACAATAAATATTTAAGGAATGTTTGTTGACTTGTTGATGATTCTTTTCCCTCTTCTTCAATAAACAACTATTAGCCTATTTTCCTCAATCTCTTCATCTTATATCTCCCTCCACTTCTCGGTCACTCATTTTGTCTTTACTCAGTAATATCTTCTATCCCTGACAACCTCTATGTGAACAGTAGGAAGCTGGCCCACATGCACAGGTAGAATGACTACAGTATGACTGTTTATAGAACAAACCCAATCTGCAAAATAATTGGACAGTTTCATTGCTTTCTGTGTTGATCAGTTACCATATCTACATCTGTACTGTGTAAAGATCTCTCACTGTATTCAGTGTGAGTTCACATCTCTCATTTTTATTCCTTAAAAATAAGAATACTATGCAGGGCACACATATGTGTCCAGAAATAGAAGCAGACCAGTTATGGTAGCTAGAGTGAGGGCTAGCAAACAGATGCGTTGCCTGACTGCTGCACTGGTAGGTCTACAACACATTAAAAGAACCAGAAGTCCCCCTGGAGAACAGCGAGTGGATGCCCTCCAGAGGATTTACAGACATGGCTAAGAATTACAGGGGATGAAGAAGGTTTGAGGGCTTATAATCTGCACCAATGGAGGGAGTACTCGTGTCAAAGAAATCACTGGGTACCGAAGTAATCAAAAAGCTACTTAGGATGACTTTACCTTAAAAAAGTTTTACTGACCTTTTATTTTCTAAGTAATTTATGTCGATAATAATTTTCTATTACAATCCCCTCATATGGAACCCTCTCTTGAATGAAGAAAAACTGAAACAGACTCAGGCAGCAACCATACCCCTATTTCTCCACCCCCTCTACCAAGGGGAAAACTATATTTAACTAACTGCTTTCCTGGAAGAAGCTTATTCTCTGGGTTTTTAAAAGATCATACTGGAGGCATTTTCTTAGTAAAGGATCATCTTCACACCCCTATTTATCATTTGCTTAAATCTTTGGTGAGATCACAATTCAATGAGTATGAATTCAGTTGCTAAGGAGGTAATTACGATATCAAATATAAAGTATCATCCTTCTCACAGGATCACACAGGAAGACAAGACCACCAAGATCAGTGAAGTACGTGGTTTAAATACTAATTATAAGAAAAACTATGACATAAGAAATTACATGATTCATACTCACCCTGAAAATGTCATTTCCTTTCATATCTAAATTGTAGATGTCAATTTATAAATTTTATTTTTATTTTGGAGAGATGAGCCACCAAATGGCACAATTTGAATATGAAAATCAATGAAATCTTCCATTTAATAAGTATTTACTAAACGTGCATGGCATTGTGGATACAAAGACAAAAACCCAAGTTCTTACCTTCAATCTTATGTTCTACTGCATGCTAACTAACAGTACACTGTAGTAGACAGAACACTGGACCTGGCCCAAGAGATCTGTGTCATCATGGGCAAATTCACAACTTCCCAGTGTTTCCTTATCTGTAAGATGGGTGTAATAATCCTTTACCTCACTCTTCAGTTTAACATTTGCTCAACCTCACAGGGTTGTGAGAAAAGTACTTTGACGACCTTAAAAGTGACTTTATAAGTGAGTTACAGGCAACTGTGATATTTCAAAATAATGTGTAAGCTACCAATTTCCTAGATATTGCTTTAAGATGATCAAAGATCTTTCTCCAAAACTGGCCTACGTGAAGCCTTCAGACAAAGTAAAAGCCTTTCACTTTGGAAAACTTTATTTTGCAATAATAAAATTCTATTATTATATGCTAATCATCACTATGTAAAGCCACAAAACAGTGGTCACAAAATGAAGGTACAAACATCTTTAAGCCTTTCAGGCTTATTCTGTTTAGATCAAGCCATAGCACAGAAGTAACTTTTTACAAGCTTTTTTTCAAACTTCGTTGCAGCTATAGATGATGCAGAGGTAGAGGCACAGAGTACCTCTGACCTGGGACTCATGAGAAATGGGTTAAATGGAAAATTCAGTTAACATGACCATTATTTCTTGAATAAATTGGTTCACTAGGATGTTCAGTAAGATATTTTACTGGGTAAGGAGTCCTCTAAAATTTCACTGTAAAAAAAGAAAGAATTTTCTAGTAGAAACTGACCAGTTGCTGCACAAGAAACAACTATTACTAGCTCTTGCTGCAGTTAACCCACATTATAAACTTCATAAGCAACACAGGTTTTTGTCACAATAGCACATCTCCTGCTTTACTATCAAAGTAGTCTGTTAAGTCTTTTAGGAGTCAGTGATTTTGTCTCACTGTTGTATGACTGTATAATTGATGCTTATTGATGAAATGATATAGGATTCTGGACTCCAACAGAGGGTATTGGTTGTAAAGCTAATGGAAATGGGAGGTAAAACAACAAATCTTGTTGGTAGGATTTCAAACAAGCCCCTGCTTTGGAATAGCCTGAGTTCTGTTAAGAACAGATATAAATATAAATATAAATATAATATGTATTATATGTAATAATTATTATATGACACATAATATTAAAAGTAAACAACCTTAGAGAGTCAAGCAGTTAGTTTTGGCTGACTGGCACATACAGACAAAACTGCAGAGGGGATAGTTTATTTGAGTCAATAACATATTTCTATGGAAAAACCATATGTTGCTCACCTATAGATGTAGACAGTGCCTGATACGGGACAGACAACGAATAAATATTTGACTTGATGGATAACAAGACTACCACTTCTGGACAAGTGTGCCATTCACTGCTCAAACACAAAAAAAGGGAAGGTGTCTGACTCTAGTCTGGCTGGACAGCCTTCAGAAAAACAATATGTGAGGGATGTTTTAAAAAACAGTCCTATTTTTAGTACCTAAACCCAACAATTTCTATTGGAGGGAGATTGGTTTTCTCACTGGTCAAAAATACAGCACTAAAACAAACAGATTTTGCTGCTGACAAAAAAGCATAATGAAGAGTTCACCTAGCTCACAGTCATCTTTATTATGTGTAGATCTGTCAGCAGCAAAGCTTGATTATTTCGGTGCTGTATTGTGGCCATCAAACAAACCTGCCTTCATACTTATATAGTACCTATAAGATGAAAAGCCTGAGTTCTTGGATCAGCCCTGCTTCAGGCTCTCTGGGTGACTTTGCAAAATTATCTTCCTGTATGGCCCAGAATGCATGAAGGTCAGGCAAGCTCTTAGACCCCTCAAGATTCAGAGATCTGACCAAGGTGGTTTTTTTTGGTCCAGACCTGTTAATTTCATTAGTGTAGGGAACTCCAGGTGAGGAAACCCCATCTCCCTCCCTCCACCAGAAGATCAATTAACTTCTGCAAATCATAAGAGAATTCTGAGGCACTTAGGTAGTCTGAAGCAGAGGCAAGAAATGCCCCAAATCAGGCACACTGGACAAAGGCATCATGACTGTGGCCCAAAATGATAAACATACATATTAGGCCAATTTCTTTCATATATATATACACACATACATATTTACACATATACATGCACATATATTTATGTATAAACATACAGTACACACCCACATTAGAATGTGGGTTCCTTAAGAGCAGTGATCCTTATTTTTGTATTTAAATCCCCACTGTATTGGACATTGCACATTGTAAGCACTCAATAAATGCTTTTTTCATTCATTCCTCCAGTCTTTTCTCCAAGAAGAGGTTTCAAAACAGCAAGCAGAATAAGTTTGGTTAGACATTTAGGCTCACATGTATATTTCCCCCTCCTAGTTATTTTTTCTCCTAAACTCTGACAGCTGGCACATAAAAGGCGCTTAGTAATGGTTTTGTGGAAATGAACTGAGTGAGGACTGATGGGAAATACGTGTCTCTACGCTAAGGACTAGTTTTGCATCTAGGAGGAGGCACTTCATGAAGGTTGAGGAGGGGGGTTCTGTCGAAACTGGGGTGGGGGTTTAGGCCGCCCCCAGAAGGCAGAGAGGGAGAGAAAGTAGAGAGGGAGACAAGGAGGGAAAGAAGGAAAATAGGTCAAGAGGGAAAGGAAGGGAGGGAGAAAAGAAAGGCGGGAAGGAGAAGAGAAGGAAAAAAGCATTTATTAAGCGCCTACTACGTGCTAGGCACCTAACAAATATGATTTCCTGAGAAGGACGGGCACGTCGGGGCGTCCAGCGCAGCGCCGTGGGGGGGAGCCGGGTCCCAAGGCCCGCGGTGGGGCCTCGTCCTCCAGACCCTGACGGACCTCCACTTACAGATGGGGAAAACTGAGGCCCGTCGAGGTCACGCTTCCCGCCTCCCCGGCACGGCTGCGTGCGGGGAGCACGACAGATGGACGTCGTCAGGGGCGACGCTGAGGCGAGGGGCTGGCCGCACTCGCCGCGGGGTCTCTTACCTGGGCCCGAGAAGGAGCCGCCAGGAACACTCTACGGGGGGTAAACCGAGCAACCGCTGGGGGGAAAAAAAACAAAAATACCGTCGGCGCATGCGCATACGCATGCGCTCACTCTTTCCCCCCAACTACTTGACGTCTTTCTTTAGGGCCGTTGCGCATGGGAGCCGTTGTTGTCCCCTCCTATGCGGCTGCGGGAAAGAATCGGAGCAGGCCAATCAGAGGGAACGGCGGGGGAGGAGCACCGCTTCTCCTCTGCGGGCAGGTTCCACACGCCCCACAATCAATCCGCCAGGAGTAGGCGTGGTAACTGCGCGGGCGCGCACCTCCCCTTCGCCGGGTCCCCCGCCCCCCTTCCAACGCCCGAGCGGCCAATCGCAGGCGGGGCGCCGGGCGCGCGCACTCGAGCCTTAACTGTAGCGCTGGGCGGCTCGTCTGGCCCTTACCATCGGCTGGGGCGCTCGCCAGGTAGGGAGTCAGGGATCGGGGGCCGTTCCCCTCAAGGCTTCAGGGGATAGCTGAGAGGGGAACGGATGGAGGAGTGAGGGGGCGGGGGACAGGGCGGAGCGTTAGCCGCCTCAGCCCAGCTTCCCCGACGCTACCTCACGGCGGGGGGCGGAAGGCGGGGCCTGAGGCCCATTCTCTAGGCTCCCCTCCCCCGTGCCTGTGAGTGACGTTTCTGTGGTCCAATTACAAAGCGACTGCCGGGGGCGGGGATTGCGGAGGAACCTCCTGCAAGGAGATCCGTGTCTTGGCTGGCGGGTCCCCGAGGTAGCGGGCAGGAGCTGTCAGTGGTAGCTTGACTCCCTCCGTCTCTCCCTCGTCCTGGTCTTGCGCGGTGCGGCTAACGGGACTTTTTTACTTCATTGGTCCGCCATCTCCCTCTCCCTTCCCCTTGGTCTCCGGCCCGACCGTTATGGATGAGCCAGGCTGTGGGTGACAGATCAGGCCATTCCCTTCCCCCTTTCCTGCCCGTTCCCACGTCGTGCGCGAGGTCAGCTCGTGGGGTGGTGGTTGATGGCCTCAATTCCACCCTTCCCTTCCCCCTTCCCTCGCCCCCCATTCCTTTCCGCAGGATGAGGCAAAAGCTGATAAACCCGTGTTCTGTGGCTGAGGAAGAGAAAAAACGCAAGCCACGCCAAACCCATTCCCGGGTCTAGGTTTGCAGTATCAGAAATTCCAGTCTGGTTAATTTAGACAGATTCCACGTTGAGCCCTTGGTTATTCGGTTTTCTTTCTCTTTTCTTCTTTCCCTCCTGACTAGAAAAGCACCTTTGAATTTCAACTGGGTTTACATCTCCATCTACTGCGTCAAGATTGCCTCACTGGGGAAAGGTATAGCCTGACATGCAGATCCATCTTCTCAGAAGGCTTGTTTTCCGGATAGAAATCCAACACCCGAGAGGCAAGCTGATTTGAATCGAGATTATTTTATTCTTGTCGATAGTGCAGATGCTGTCTGGCCTTTTTTTTTTTCCCTTTTGTATATAATGGTGTTGGTCAGCTGGTGTGACTGCCCAAGCCACTGAGGAGAAATCTGCTTAGCTGGGTTCTATTCTTATATTTGTGCCTTCAGGAAATCTCCTTTTTGTGTGCTGGTGTTGCTAATCATGCCCTCTTTATGAATAGGTTTCAAGGTGGAAAGAGGGTTAAAAAAAACAAAACCAAACTGTGTATAAAATTGTTGGATAAATTGCAAGAATTTGCATTTTGCAATTCTCGGTTTTTAATTGTGTGTGTGTGTGTGTGTGTGTGTGTGTGTGTGTGTGTGTGTGTGTATGTGTTTTAAGGACCTGGGGTCCTTGAAGGAGGCATATTATTTGAATTGACATGGCAAATCGAGTATTTATTTGCCTGCCTCTATGTAGCACAAGAAGCCTTTGATATAGAAGTAGTTCTAATTTGTAAAGCGTAATTAAAAAAAACCAAATTAGTAACTATACAAAAGACATGTTGGTGTTTTTGCGAAGAAGTATCTTATCTGTGTGCAAAACCACAGATAGCAAAACGAGTTACTTTTCTATGTTCCCTGGCTAAAAGTCAACTGTTACTGTTATTTGCTTATGTAACAGAATAGTGTCTAGGAAATTTATTATTTGTTTTTTTAAGAAAATTCAGCAATATAGCTAAAAAGGTGATGTCATTTTCTAATTTCATCGTTTGAAATGTGGATTTATGTGCAAAAATTGAAATGTTTCCAGTCATGGAAGAACAGAGGATATATTTAGTAGCTTTTAAGTCTTTTCCATTCATTTTTTCAGAATCTGTTGGAAGCTTAGGACTTTATGCTTCCGAATGTTAGGAACTGAAAATGTCACTAGATGATGAAGTACCTGAAGATGAATCGGATTCAGTTTCTTCAAACAATGAAGTCAAGCTACTTTTTCAAATAAGAGAATGTAACCACATTTCTATTAGACATAAATTATGGAAGATTTGGACTTGGTGAAAACTAAGCAAGAAACCTTTCCATCTTCTATAGAATCTGATGTCAGAAATACTCACAGTTCAGTTGGATATAGCTTAAATACAAACAGGTAACAATGGAAAAGTGTGAAATTTTTAAAGAAGTAGTTATATATCGTGATATATATTAATTCAGTTAAACAGTTCAATTCAGTAATTTATTAAACATCTCAAACAATATGTGTTATTTATTATGTATATTTGGATAGTACCCAATTCACCCTAAGTCATAACCTTTTTGGCCTTTGAAATCTGTAGTTTATTAGTGATACTTATATAATCAGGAACTATTTAGGTATAACTAATTAGTTTATGCACTATGTCAATCTGGTTTATTCTACTCCCTTTCATGTTGCCCACTTTTTCAGGATGTATTTTAATCTGGGAGAAATTTTATCTGGGGAACAGATAAATAGTAACTTGCTTTTCTACCTGTGGTTTTATACATGAGATTTTTGTTTTCTTTTCTTTGCTTTTTTTTTGAAAATCACATTTCTTTGAAGTCTTATGTCTCAGGTCTCCTCAAAGTTTCAAAATTGATGGTTTATATTATAATAATGCTTTTCCTATTTAGAATTACATTATTCAGCAGTATCACTTATCTAGAATGTGACTAAAATTCAAAGAAATGAAAAAGATTTTTGAACATCTAATGTAGGTATCACAAAGTCCACCTACTTGACTCATAAGAGAGTCAGTAGATTCTCTTTAGAGTCTATTTATTTTATATAGAGTTGTGATCAACTTAATCAAATCTATAGCAAATTAGAAGTTGAGAGAGAGAGAGTGAATGAGTCCTTTGGCAGCTGCATTGAGAGTATGAGGAGTGATAGTTGATATCCTGACATCAAGGGAAGGGGCATAAAAGTGGAAAAACACCCACTCACACACCCTCCCCCCCCACACCCATCCACCCCCAAAAGGATAGTAGGTCTTCAATGTAGCGTTAAGCAGTCCTCATACCTCTGGGCCCAGAGGATATTAATCTATTTACTATGTCATAGGGCAAATGAAGTAATTTATGTAAAATGTTTTAGTAATCATGACTGCAGTATATAACAACTGTATGACACAGTTGTTCATAATGGTTTTTGAGTTTGAGACATCAAGAAAAGTTTAAATTCTGTTAGTTTGGAAAAGTGGGAGTTGTAAAACATTTTGGAGAGATTTCTGCTTAATATAGCTAAAATAAATATTTTGATGCTTAAAAGGGAAGAGCCCTCAACTTTCTGGAAAACTTAATTATCCATGATGGCTCATTTCCCAAGTGCTTAGGATAGCTGAGGTTTCATGTTGAAAAATATACCTAGCATATAACATAGCTTGTACATCTTAAAACATCATAAATATGTTGATCTAATTTAGCTTTTAAAAAAATTCATATTTAAAACCATGCTGTTGTATGTCACATACTCTTATACAACAATTTCAAATAAATCTGATGCTCAGTACGGTGAGCTGCTGATTTCATTGATGTGGATACTCTCTCATTGTAGAGGTATAGATGGCAGCTTCCCCATGTCATCTCATAATTTTTGGCCATGTATTTCCTTAAATTGTCTACAGAGGTTCTAACCTATGAGTTTGAGACCTTTAATTTTTTTACTATATGTGTTTGTATATATGTTTATGTGTGTATATACATATATGTATATATATATATGCCCACTGTGTATATGTGTCTGTATATATACCCACACACTACATAATGTGTGTGTATATATATATATATATATATATATATATATATATATATATATATATATATATATATATATATATATATATATATATATATATATATACATACACATATATAGGGAAAAAAGATTAAAAATATATTTTGTGAAGGACATTTGTTCATATCTTGTTCCCCCATTCTTGCTCATAACTGACCATGTCCTTTTCTGGTCATACATGTATTTGAAAAATGTCTCTTTTTGTTGTTGCCAGTTTATTCTTACCTTGTAGCTTTCCATTTTCATTTTGGATTTATAAATTTGGTTATTTTGAGGTCATGGTATTCTGTGAATATGCAGCTAGATAGTGTCATGTGGAGAATATTGCTCTTGAAGAGATGGCATTTTGAAGAACTTGAAGAGATTGGCCTCGTTGAATGTCCTGTGTGATTTCTCAAAGTCGATCTAGCCTAATCGCATAGTGGAATTTGGGGTCTAGCTCCTTTTCCAACTGTAGTGTCTGTCCATGGTATACATACACATTAATGAACTAACTTAACTGGTTCCCCATGGATAGCTTTTGACTGTCTTGATTTAAGCAGTCTGCATTTTTCCTCTATTGTTTTGCAGTGTGGATAGTAAGGCAGATTTATTTTAGATTACTGTCACCTTCAATGAGAGAGGGCTTTGTAGTGGTTCTGCAGCTTGACTGATGCAATTAAAAATCTGAAGCAAAGTTATCTTCTGTTTTGGACTTTGAAAAGAGTTTTTTAAATTAAGTGGGCTAAATATTTTTGTTTACACCATTAATTTGCTTAGCACACTTATTCATAGATAATGTAAAGATAAATTTCATTCCAATATAGTTATTAAATTAAATTAGTGAATTCCAGTTGATGAGGTTTTACTGTAATTCCAAAGGGTGTTTTATGGTATAAGTTTAATAATC